TTGTGGGTTACAGTCAACTCATTACAAATATCCAATAATTTGTGGGTTACAATTATCTCATTACAATGCAATAATTTGTGGGTTACAATCAACTCATTAGAATCCAATAATTCGTGGGTTATAATCATCTCATTACAATCCCATAATTTGTGGGTTACAATCTTCTCATTACAATCCAATAATTTGTGGGTTACAATCATCTCATTACAATCCAATAATTTGTGGGTTCACAATCAACTCATTACTTAGCCAACTACTTATAACCAAGAGTGAGGTCTTTATGGGAAAATCTCAAACTGACACCTTGCTGTATTGACTGAGTGACAACGAAGTCAATACGACAAAGCAGAGGTACGAGATGTTCTCGTAAAGACCAAATGTGCATGGTTAGTAGTTTCTTATATGGCTTTTTACTTTGGTTTTGTGGGCTCGTAATCAACCTGTGGGCATTACAGGAGAATAATGCCCTACATTTGGCCAATCAGATCGCGTGTTATATTGGCAAACACAAGCCATATAATAAAATTTAATAGTTTGTGGGTCACAATCAACTCATTACAATCCAATCATTTGCGGGTTACAATCAACTCATTACAATGCAATAATTTGTGGGTTACAATCATCTCATTACAATGCAATAATTGGTGGGTTACAATCAAATCATTACAATCCAATAATTTGTGGCTTACAATCAAGTCATTACAATCCAACACTTTGTGGGTTACAATCAACTGATTATCTATGTGTACACTCCAATCACCTTAACTTTATTTTCAGATGCCACCAACCAATTTAAGTAAGGCACAGGTTGATAATTTGCGTGAATTGTGGGAGGCTGGCCTGATCAGTGTAGGTGACAAGGGGAAGATCTTTAAAGCGATGGAAGTCACGGGTTTAACAGAAACAACGATCAAGGTATGATGAAGTAGCTGATCTTAGCTAAGCGTTTATCACTTTGATAGAAGTATTGTCTATTATCTAAACTGGTTTTGTTAAATCTGCCCTCTTCTTACGCTGTCCAAGCCACCCATTCTAAAATGTTAATGTAATACTGGTAACTGGAGTTATTAAAAACTTGTCATGGTATCAATATTACAATTCCATACTTTTGATTGATAAGCCAGGCCGTGGTAAATGAGTTCGTATACTCTGGACCACAAGAATTGTTGGGGTGGTTTTTCTGGAGGATAATTGTGCCAATGAGGCACCTTCTCTAATCAACATTTTATATGCATGTGTTTTTTTTGTGGAGCTATTTAAACCCCTTTGATACGTCTTTCTTGTTTATATCAAAGAACTGGATAGGAAATGAAAGAA